CCTGGTGTTACATTGCATTGCGGCAGCGCCACGCGCTGAAGAGCCGTGCAGTGCAGACCAACCGGAAGCAGCGGCGGAATGACAGCTAGTGCAGGAACAGAGGGAATGAACAGAGGGCGGTGTTGCAGGGAAACCACAGAGTGGGAGAGTGCAGGATGGGGCGCAGCGGTGCCGCAGCGGCTCCAGCGCGCGCGGGCTGGCTGCGGGTGCGGGGCCGCCCTCCGCCTCAGTGGCCCATGGGCTGGCCCTCGGTGATGAGCTGCACCAGCCTGCCGCCCCAGCCAAAGGTCTTGGGGGTCTCCTGCATGCACGCATCCTTCTCCTCCTGGCTCCACTCTGCCGCAATACCATTGATGGTGGCACGCACGGCATCCAGGCGCTCCTGCAACAGGAGGCAGGCCGGCAGGCAAGTTGGGGACGGCAGGCAGGCAGGATTGGCAAGCATAGGCAAGCAGGAGATGCATGGATGGCGCAGATTTGACTCCACTGACGCCCAGGCGGGCGAGACGGGGAAGCAGCAGCGAGCCGGCTGGCATGTCGCCACCAGCAGCCCGCCCACTCACCTTGACATCGCCCTCCCACTGATAGAACGCGCCGGTCCAGCCGTCCAGCACTGCGTTGCTCACGCTCTTGCCAATCATGCGGCCGCCGGCTGCAGACATGCACGCAGGAGCGGGTGAGTAGCCACCATGGCTGCTGGAGACCAGGCGCATCGCATTGTGCGGAGGGCAGCTCAGTGGAGCCTCCTAAACCTGCTAATCCACACACACACACACACACGCACGCACGCACACGCACACGCACACATGCCGCACCTGTGTGGGCAAAGTAGTGGTTGTAGTAGTGGCACAGGAAGGCGGGCGGGCTGCTGACCGCCAGTTCGCGCAGCAGCCTGCAGGCCGGCGGCAGGAGAGCAGGCGCGAGGGCAGCAGGATCCTCAGAAGGGCGCATACGCGCAGCAAGCCTCTGCGCTGCCTGCAAGCCCCCCCACCAGCCGTCGCATGGCATGAACGAGGCGCCACAGGGCATGCGCGGGCGCTCAAGCGCGGCTCCCCGGCCTGGCAGCGCCAGCGCACTTGGCATAGGTGTGGCCGGGGCCGTCCTCCGCAGCCACCGGCGCCTCCATGCCCCACTGCTGCTGCATGTACGCAATGTCCTTGGCCAGAGGCTCCGACCGCTCCAGGCCAGTGTTGGTCAGCTGCTTGTCTGCAGGGGGCGGGCGCGCGGGCCAGAGCGGGCGGCAACGGCACGGCGGTCGCATGCCAGCACGCCGGCGCTGCAGCCAGGCCGCCGACTGCAGCTGGGCCTAGGCATTCCCGCAGGCTCAGGCAGGGATGGCTTGTGGCATCCCCACAGCCAAGCGCGCGCAGCTGGGCCGGGGGCGGCTCACAGTAGGGGACGGCGGCCTGGTCGAGGATCTCCTCAAACGCCTCGTACACCACCTTGGACTCACCCATGAAGTGCAGAAAGCCGGGGCGCGTGGGCGCAAACTGCGGGCAGGCAGCAGCGGCCGGGCCGGCCACATGGGCCCCTCAGCAGGCCACGGGCCACCCATGCCCAGGCGTTTCACGCGC